CGCGCCATGCAGGTGCTGGTCACCGCCATCTCGCCTGGCCGCTTCCCCGAGGCCCTGGACGAGCTGCCGCTGCCGCCCTTCCTGCAGCCGCTGGACCTCTCGGGCCAGGGCTAGCCCCCGGGTGCCCTGGCGCCGCCGCGTGGGGAAGCTGTGTTCGGGGGCCTGGTGCCCGGCGCCTGACATAGAGAGATCTCTGCACGGCTGCCTCCGCCTCTTCTGTTGCCTCCTGCGTCACCGCTGCGGGGCGGGTCGACTGGCCGCGTCGACGGGCGGCAGCACCCTGGCCAGGAGCAACCGGGTGAGGCTCGCGCCTGCCCTACTCGCAGGTCGCCCGCTAGGGGGCAGCCGGCCTCCCATCTGGACCAGTGGCCTTGGTGGCGTGAAGCGCAGGCGGCCGCCCACCCCAAACTGGGCTCCCACTTGACCCTAGCGCCTCATTTGCACTCCTCCATGGCCCTGGTCCTGGCTGCCCCTCAGCCCTGTCCCCAGCTTCCCTAGTTGGGGTGGGAGGGCCCTCAGCCAGGGCCAGGCTCCCGGGTGTCCCCTGGGGCCAAAGCCGGGCTTGCGGGAGGTACTGCCGGTGGGGTTCCCTACCTAGGGGGACCCTGGCTGGAAAGCTGGGTCGGTGCCCTGAGGCGCCTTAATACAGGGGAGCATGGCCAGGCCACTGCCCGGGGCTGGTGGACCCTAAAGCCCAGAATGTGCTGCAGAGGGCAGAGCTGAGGGTTTGCGGGGCAGAGTGACCGGCCTGGCCAGGAGCTCCTGCTCTTCACCCTGCCCCTCGAATCCCTGGGTGTCCGGGCAGCAGGGTCTGGCAGGGGGTCCTGACTGGCACCTGTACCAGCTCAGTGACCTTGGACAGACTGGCCTGGCTTCAGTGTCCCCACCAACTCCTGGGGGTGGGGCCATGTGGACTCCCTCCCTGCCCTGAGGAGGTGGTGACCCACTCTTGCGGCCGCCCGGACCAAGTGGACAGCCAGTGCCTCAGCTGCCCTTCCGCAGGCCGTTCCCTGAGGAGGCTGTGGCCAGCCTAGAGTCCGCACCCACTGGGGAAGACAGCCCAGCCCCCCAGGCCCTGGTGCGGGCTGATTAACAGGGTTCCTGGGCTATCTGGGGGCAGCCACTGGTGGGGAGGTGCCGGCCTCGGCTTGTGGCGTCCCCTGGGCCCCTGAGGAAGGAAGGGCCATGCCACTTGGCACCTTGGTGACACGCCTATCGGACTGGCAGGCCAGGAGCCGCCAGGCCCGCTGTGTCCCCAGCAGGTGCCCACTCATCCCGGGCTGTCCAGGGCCCCAGTGGCTCTGCCTGGAGTGAGGCCGCTTTTCTCTGGGTGACGGGGCTGCTCGTGCTCTTCACTGGCCACCAAGGAAGCAGCACAGCCCCTTCTGGCGGCCCAGGCCCAGGGTGGAGAAGGTTTCCGACCCTCCGTGGCCTCGGCTCCTGCACTGGCGCCCGCCTGTGCTCTGCGGGCTTCTCCCCCCCCCAGCTTCTTCAGTTTCCTGGGTACCCCAAGTCCTGCTCAGACAGGATGCTTCTGGAGTCAGTGAGGGAAGCCAGTCCCCAGAGCTGCTGCAGCGAGGCACATGGGAGCAGGCGGAGGACGAGTGTCCACAGGGAATGGCCACTGCCCAGCCTGAGGGGCAGCCTGCTCTGAAAAAAGTCTGCTGGTGGGATACACACGGCATGTGACGCTCCTGGGGAGACGCCCCCGCCCCCACGACCAGGCCAGCGCCGCAGAGCTGGACGTGACCGCGCCCGCGGGCCTGGCTGGAAGAGGCTCGGTGAAGGCCTTGCCGGCCCTGAGGGAGGCCTGGCTGGTGCTCGGCGGCCGCTGGGGACACACAGGGAACGTCGGGGCTGGGCTTTTTAAATGTGAATCTTATTTATTTTTGGAATAAATTATACATTGAACATGGCTTACAAGTCAGGACACGTCACACATGCCCCGGAGGGTCTGCCAGACCGTCCCCTTTGCCCGCCGGCGAGCCTGCGGCGGCCCCCACAGCCGGCGCTGCCCAGGGAGGGAGCTTCCATTCTGGGGCTGCGCTGGCCCCTCAGGGCAGTCCCTGAGGGCCGGCCCCGGCGCCTGGGCTGGAAGGCCGAGGAGGGCGGTGCCACACGGTCTCGGTGCCTCCGTCCACTCTCCCGTCCCTCCCCACGTGTCCGGTTTTAGTTCAGTCGTCACAGTCACGTAACCCTCTTGGCTCCACGCGGGGTTCTGGCTGGACGCAGCCGTACCTTCCGAGCTGACCAGCTCTCTTCCCTCAGGTGAGACCGGCTGCCGGGAGGGGGGCTACAGCCCCCGGTCCTGAGGCCTCCACTGCAGCCGACGGTCGCCTCGCCCCTGCCTGGCACCGCCCTCCCCGGTCTGGAGCTGCGGGCCAGCCTCGTGCGGCCAAGCGCGCAGAGCACCTGGCCTGGGTGGCGCCTTCCTCCCCCGGGGCTCCGACAAGGCGCCGCTGCGGGCCCCCACTGCACACCAGGCCGCTGGACCTGCCCTCCCCTCGCCCCGGCCACTCCTCTGGCCGGGGCAGGGTCCCCCATGTCGCTGGGGGCAGGCAGGTGGCCTGTGGCTGGGCCTCAGGAGCGTCCTCCCCGGTACTCGGGGTCCGTGGGCCTCGGGAGCCACGGCCCCCTGGACAGCGACCTGCGAAGCGCCCACACCGAGACCGGCCAGGGAACTGCAGCTGCCCGCCTCTCCTGGCTGAGGGCGGGGCTTACAATGGCCAGCGCGCGTGTCCAGCAGGTGCCCCCAGCGCAGACGCCAGACCACCGGGCTGGGCGTTTACGCCCGGGCTGGGCACAGCAGCACAGAGCCAGGAGGCGAGTGAGCCCAGCAGAGGGAGGCGGAGCGTCGCATGCCAGCTGGGCTCCCGGGCCGGCTGGGCCCAGGGGAGTCGCAGCCCCGCCCAGGCGGCCGCTGCTGGCCCCTGCCCCAGATGGGGGCTTGTGCCCAGAGAGCAGGGCCCAGGCCTCACCCTCAGCTAGCCCCGAGGGCCTCCACCTTCACGGCTGGGGCTGGTCAGACGACACTCTGCCTGCGCTCGGGGGCTCCTGGACACTGCACGGAGGAACAGGCCCCGGCCAATTCGGGCTAGGACGGCAGCAGGCACAAGCCCTGCCTTGGAGTGGTCACTGGGAGGACGAGGCCGCCTGCCCAGGCCTGGCCACAGGGGCTCCAGCCTCGGGGATGGTGGACACAGACACCCGCTGCTGGCACTGAGCCGCCTGCGGGCCGGCCCTGCCACGCGGACACACGTGCCACTCCCTGGGGCTGTGGCCAAGGACAGGCGGGGCTCAGAGAACCGCGGAAGGGAGAAAGGGCTTCCGAGGGCTTCACAGACACATCTCGAAGCCCGCAGGGCTTGAGTTCAGGTGAGGTATCGGATGCACGTTTGTAATACAACAAACAAGGCAATCGTTAGACGCGACCTGCGAGGGCGCTTCTGGCCTTGACCACGTCCGCCAGCAGCAGGAACAGCCAAAGACACTTCTCGGCTGGCCGGCATGGCCCGTCCGCCAGCCCCGGCCTCCGGCCCCTTCGGCCGCCGGCCTGTGTTTGGCTGTGGAGGTGTGTGCCAATCTGCGCCGCCTGGCAGCGCCCAGCACCCTCCCCCCAACCTCAAACACGCCTGGGCCCCCCGGGGAAGCCTGGCCTGGAATGTGCTGGAACCTGCATCTCAGAGGGGCGGGGGGCCTGTGACAGAGCAGCCCCCGCAGGGCACTCGGGCGCTGGACACTGACCTTCAGCTCTGGCTGGCTCGGTGCTGGCTTGTCCACTGTGGAGGCCCCGCGCCCGTGTGGCCCCAGCAGCGGGCAGGACGCGCTGTGGACACGACGGCAGAGCATGCAGTGGGGCGCCTCGGGCGGGGGCGGGGGCCACACACCGTGGCCAGGCTGCGGGGGCCTGGCGGGAGGTGGGCGCCGCGCCCATCAGTGAGTCTAGCCCGGAGCTGGCGAGACATGTCCAGGTGTGGGTGCCAGGGCCCCGCGTCCACCCATCTCGGCCCTGCCCTCCTGGTCAGATGACTTCCCACTCGTCCTCCAGCTGCTCAGGGTGCAGGGCGGCGGCGGCGTGGCCGCCTGGGGTGCGGCGAGAGTGGCTGAAGGTCCTCGTCAGCCGCTGGAGGAGGTAGCCGGGGGGGCCCACTGCCCACAGCTCGTCCGCCGCGGTCACTGCAGGGCAAGAGCCAGTCACGCTCATCAGGCGCCCTCGGGGTGTGGGCACAGGAGCAACAGAGTCCGGCCACGCCCACACCGCCCCAGCCCCCCGCTCTAAAGCGGGTGTCCCAGCGCCCACCGGAGCCCCCCCAGCCCCTCCCCGGGAGGGGACCCCAGGGGGCCGCACAGCCCACGGCCGCCACGACCTGGCACCTGCCTGAGAAACACGTCACGTTCCCCGGGACCTTCTTCCAGTAGTCCCCGGCGGGGTTCTTGTCGGTGACGCCGTACCGGCGGGCGAGGTCGCCGTTGGGGCAGCGGGCCCACACGGTTCTGGAGCTCAGTGCCAGCTGGCAGGCCTGCAGCCCTGCGGGCGGGGGGCCGTGGGCCTCAGACAGTGCCCGAGTTTGCGCTGCCCACAGGCCCCGGCCAGGCCTCTGGGACTGCTGTCCACCCCCCCGGGCTCGCACCCCTGGCAGAGCCCAGGCCTGGCCCTCAAACCCGGACACGCCTACCTGGCACGTGCTCCCAGGCGGTGCCCACGGGCATCTCCTCTGTGACCCCTGTGCGCACGTGCACGCTCCACCTGCTGTCCAGCGCCCACAGCATCTGGTCGTTGGGGCTGGAGTAGACGCTGACCAAGGTGGCCCCGGCAGGCTGGGGGAAGAGGGCGGGTCTGGAGCAGACGGGGGACCAGGCGGCCCTCTAGCCGGCTCCCTCAGCCGGGGCGATGCCGGGGGGCAGCCCCATGTGGCAGGCCCAGCCGGAGGGGCCTTCTGCGCCAAACTCTGGCCTATAGCCCTCACTGACCGCAGGCAGCCGTGGCCACAAGGAAGGAAGGAGAAATCACGTGGTGGCAGCCTGGCGCGGCAGGGAGGCTGTGTCTGGGCGAAGGTGAGGCTGGGGCTGGGTGGGGCACAAGCCGCAGCCTGAGTGCACCCCGCCCCCCTCAGGCCCCACTCAGCCACCTGGCTGCAGGCACACGGTGCCTGCGCTCACAGGTCCCCTCCCTCCGGCTCCCCTGTGCCGCTGCTGGCCTGAGGTGCGCGAGGGGCCCGCAGAAGACTGTCGGGGATGGCGGCTGCGAGGCCACCGCCCGCCCGGGGGTTGGGCTGCCCGGCTGGCCCTGTGGACTCGCTCCTGTCCTGGGCGCGGTCCCCACCAGGGAGTGGCCCGCAGGGGCAGCAGACCGGCCCGGGGCCGGGCCCCTCTGCCTCGGCTAGCAGGGACGGGGCCGAAGCGCGCTCAGAAGACACCAAACACAGCCATGAGTATTTTCCC